GCCAGTGAAATGTATAAAATATTGAAAGAGCAAAGCTAATGGAAGGAAAGAATGTTAAAGTATGTGATAAGACTGGAAATCAGGAGCCAATGACTATGGATAATTCAGATGTTAGGAAGGAGTTTGGAATTTGGTTTTACCATGATAAATTCTGACATGGTTAGACATTGGAGAATTGCCTTGTCTGATTCAGGATTTCCTGATTCCATACTGTTTATGAGAAGAATGAGGGGTATGTAGGGAAAGAGTAGAAAAATGACTAATGGGGAAACTTACAGAATGCTATTCTGGACCAGGGAAGCAATGGTGGAGAGGGACAGAAGTGAATAGAGAATGGTGAGAGGCACTATATGGCCGTTGAGGATGAAGGGAAGGGAGGATGGAGACTGTCACTTGCACATGTTATTGGCTGTTTGTTTTGTATTGAAACTGGTGATGTCGTGAATATACATTATGAACGAATGAGTTGCTAAGGCTAGAGAACCAGTAAACAGATATCCTTCTTTTGTATATTTCATCTGACAGGCTCTACCAGATAGGTCACCAGTGGTAACAGATGTCACAAGATCAGTGAATAGGGTTCATAACATTGAAATATGAGAATCCATCACTATCCCTCGGTCTGAAAGGCAGGAGAAGGAGGACACTACTACATGCTACTGTGTGCTTTAGCTACAGTAAAAGATATAACAACAGAATTATGTTGTTCAGATCACAGACTGCCAGAGCCCGCTGGCAGAGTTGAGCAGATATTGAGTGGGGAGCAAGGACTGAAAGAAAATTAAAAGAAAAAAAAACAAGACACTACACGGAATCTGTTCGAGAGGGCTTCTAGCAGAAAACTAGGCACTCAGTTTATTCCACAGTCCCTTTTTATAGTCAGAGCAAAGCACTTTGATACAATGAAGTTCATCGAGAAGTCAGACTTGTTTACCTTGACCATCTGTCTGGTGATCCTCACACAAACAAAAGGAAGTGAACTTGGCAACACATCCTGTCTTTCCCTGTATCCAGGTGAAGGCCAGTGTGAAAACACGTTTTTCACCGAGAGCTCAATAATAAAGCATCCTGACAAACAAGCGGCTCTCCACAACTGACAAAACAGTACTTGAGCTGAAGGAGATAGAAGTAGCCATTTGTCCATGCCGCTCTTCTGTAGAGCTCTAAATCCTGAAGGTATCTTCTTTGGGGAGAGTGGGGTGACCAAAGGTGAGCGAGCCTGAGGGCACAGTTCAAGCCACACAGAGGACCTCTTCATGGAGCTCTGCAGAGAGAACGGTGCAGATGTCCATCTGGAAGCCATGAGCATTTCAGCAGTCATGTATCTCCGGCACATGCATATTCTGGTTGTTTGTTTATTTCAATATGACTCAAGATAGACTCGAATGGAAGAGGGAATCTCAGTTGAAACCATGATTCCATAAGATTAGATTGTAGGCAAGTCTGGGTGGCCTTTTCTTGACCAATAATTGATGTAGGACAGTCTACTCCCTGTGAGCTGTGCCACCCCAGGGCTGGTCACCCTGAATGGTAGAAGAAATCAGGCTGGGAAATTCATGACAAGTAAGCCAGTAAGTAGCACTCCTTTATAGCACTTCCTCCCTCTAGGTCCCTGCCTTGAGTTTCTTCTCTTCTCTGACTTCCCTCAGTGATGAAGTGTCACCTGATAGCTGTAAGCTGAAATAAATGCTTTCCTTCCTGAGCTGCTTCTGGTCATGGTTTTATCATAGCAACAGAAGCCCTAACTAAGACAGCACATATTTGCCTTCTTGTTTATATGTGCACCACATGTGTACAGGTGCTTTGGAGGCCAGCAGAGGGCATCAGATTCCTGGAATTAGAGTTCCCTCAGTTGTGAATCTCCCAGAGTAGGTTCTGGGAGTCAAATTCAGGTTCTCTGCTAAAGTAGAAAGTGCTCTTACCCTGAAAGCCATCTCTTCATCCCAAGTGCAAATATTTGTCAAGCTCTTACTTGTGACAGGAAGCACACTGCATCTCAATTCATTGTTAGCTCATTCCTACCAACAGAACCAAAGTTTAAACACTGTGACTTCATTGCACTCAGTAGCAATGAAGGCTCAGTGGAGTGAAGCTATTTGTTTTAAGGTCAGACAGCTATTGCATGCCAGACCCAGAAATCAAGGACCAGGCATCCTTTTGTCAGGGCCACACAGCTTCGCCGAGTAAGAGAATCAAATGCCCAAGCAGTATGCATAGGTCACGTGGTAGTTTTAAAAAGCCTTCTTCTTTTTCATTATTTTTCAGTTCCTTTGAATAAAACGAGTTTTGACAAGAATTCATCAGAGAAGTTATTCCACATATCAATGTACCATTTTGGATATTGCTTTTGATTAAGTCTGTTTGCAGACTAGAATATTAGTAACCCACATATCCTCTGTACCTCAAAAAAGAGTAGTTTCACTTTCATCTTGGGAACAAAGCTCAATAGAAAGACTTTTTAAACTTTTCTTAATTCATGAAACATTTATCTTCAAGTCAGGTTTTGTTATAGCAGCACAAATGTGGTCAGTCAGCATTTCCATTATAATCGGGTACTCCCAAGGCTGCTCAAGAAAGCCTCAGAGACTCCCCTTTGAATTAAAACTTGGCACTCAGGATTTGAATCCAGAAACTGCATTTTTGCTACTAATTAGTCAAATAATTTAAAGATTCTCCAATTGGAAGCAGACAAAATGCAAAACTTTATCTGTGCAAAAAAAAAAATGTTTGAAGAAAATCTTTCAGCTTCAAACTTTATGAGAATGTTAGCATTCATTGTGCAAGTTAAATATTGCATGAGAGTCAATAAATAAACATAGTAGTGATTATAACATCTTAGGCTCAGCCTGTTTGGTTTTGTGAGTAATTTATTTCTACTCTGGGATTCGGGATGATTTGGCATAATTGGTTTAAAGGGCAACAGCATGAAGAAACTGGATCAGAATAACGAGGGGAGGGGAGCAGTCCCTCAGAGACTGTGAACATGCTTTGTGTGTTCTTTTATGAACTCAAAATGTATGTGGAGGAATTTTAAATCCTGTGAACACAGATTAGTAGCACGCATTGATTCTGTAGAGAGACACTGGAAATGCAAATTGCTGAACACAATGGCAGCCATGAGTCCTAAATGCAGCCTCATTGTCTATTTTAGGAAAGTATCAGGAATGGCCTACAACAATGAAGGAACATCTAGGAATCTGCCTTTAACATCTTATTCTGTAGCTTTTCTCCCTTTTCAGTCTTTTAAGACTTCCAGACAGTGAATGACAACAGAGCTTCTGTTGGCCTTCTCAGTCCTCAACCAGCTACCCTGAACTTCCTGCTCCTTATGGAAACATCCTGCAGTCTCCATACCTGGCAACTTCTGCTCTGGATTTTCATTATAGGAGGAACACTGACCAAAGCAGATGTCTGCTCCAACTCCCCTACTAACTTTAGGCTTTGTTTAGACTTTACCTTTCGGTAAAGCCAAAGGGATCAGCTTGTTTAATCACTTGTTTGCCAATAGATCCTTATAGCAATAAGGGAAATTTTCCTTGTGCCCTTGGAAGGTTTGCTAAACTAAACCGATATAGACACTTTGACAGGAGAAAAAAAATACAAAGTTATTAACCTGCCCATTTATGCAGGAAGTTCAAAGAAGGGATGGCTGGCTGAGGCCAAATACCTTCATTATAGGAAAGGAGGAAGTAGAGGCCAGGGCACTCTTAGAAGACTAGGAATAGCTTTCTGGGAACTTGACTGGGCACAAAGGATAGACAGTAATTAACAGATAAATCCTGGAGCTGGAGAAAGCTGGGAAGAACATACAAGCAGAGTTGCCTTTATTTGACACCATTCCCCTTCCTTCCTGATATTCCAGTTTAATTTTCCCTGGACAATGAGAATTGGGGGAGGGTGTAAGGATGCTGGTATTATTTTGGAGAGAACTTCTTCAGACAGATAAAGCATCTTCAGAACGGGCCACCCCTGCAGTTGGAGGAAAAAGGAAGGGAAAACAGAGATATCTTGATTCTGAGACCCTGTCTCTACTTCAGCATGCCCACGTGACACACATTGCTGTCATTCTCTGAGCCCAAATATGTCTCAGCCCCAAACTAGTGCTATCTATGACCTGGCTGGATCTCTTCTTAGCATCTGCAAACACACTTTCTGCCTTTTAAACAAGATATCTGTTTCCTCTCACTTACTATCCAGGAACATGATGGCATGTTTTATTTTGTAACATAGTTAGCAGGCGCATAGAGTTATGCCAGACAATATTGGTTATTCAGAAACTGCTTGTTGAATAAATTATTCAGTTAAATGTGAATTTCAAAGTTCGTATCAGGAATCTCCAAACAATTGTCCAGCTGTAATCGTCCCTGCTGCTAGAGATGTTCTTTTCTGAATACAGTGAAGAATGTCCTTTGAACACTAGTCTCAAGATGAAAGGATCCACATGTAGTTTCCTCACTGTGGTGTGCTATGGGTCCATCTTTCCTGCAAAGATTTAAAGTGAGGCTCAGAGAATTTCATCATTCGTTTAGTTACATTTTAGAAGAGGTAAGGTGAGTGGATAGAAATCTGTCTGCCACAAAATAAATAAATGCTTCTTGTGTAAAGAGTCATCATGCATGTTCTATAATTCAATGCATGTAATGATAATATCAAAACTGAACTTTGAAAAATGTGAAATTGCATTCTGACCTTATAATAATAATGAAAACAATATAGATTCATACCCAGCCTCAGCAAGGGTGGAGATGCCGTCCGTTAAACAGATTACTATGGGAGCCACAGGTCAAGGTCCCTACCAGCTCTGTGACCCAAATCAGAAAAGCAGAATTCCAGCAGATAACCCTGTACTCTGAAACCTCAAATAAGCCCTGCCATGATCATTCTGAATGGTAGTTGATGGCACATCTGTTATTTTATTTTCTATCATGAGGATGCATTTTTGTAGATGAACTAAATACTACTTAAATAAACAATAAACTCATCTTTGCTTTCTCTCCTAGAGTAAATGTGAGCACTCGCTGTATGGTCACATGCATTCCATCAATGATGCCACCTTCACGCCTAGGGTGAGTTCAATTCCCCCAATAAATCCATACAATTCTTTAGATGTTAAACTTAATTTTAATGAAAGTAGTTTTCAAGGTAAAATGGAAACTTAATAAGCTGAGAACAGCAAATGACGAATACATCATAAACAGTAGAGAAATGCGTTAAAAGAGATGATGGGTGCAGAACTTTAAAGCTCACAAGTACACACACATTCACACACATATATACACATTCATACACACACACACACACACACACAGGCATGCAGGCACTAGACAGTAGCAGGAAAAATAAGGAAGGCTGCGATGTACACTTTCTCTTAAACACCTTATTAGAGCCTTTTGTCCATCATAGGTTTCAGGATGTAAATGGGATAGATGCTACACTAACTCTGCAGTTCTGGGGACTGAACTCAGGGTCCTGCATGTATCAGACAAACAGCTTAGATTGCCTGGGTTCTTTGAATCAAAGTGCTGCTATATAACTCCAGCTTTTTTGAACTAATATTGAATCACAAACTGGCCTCAAATATAAATATATATTTATATATATTTATATATATATATATATATTTGAGGTATATATGTATGTATGTATGTATGTATAATATATGTATATAATTTATGTTTATATAAAATTCTGTTGCCTCAGTAAGTACCACCATGTCTAGGCAGAAGTTTTTATCTTTAAATGTAAGATTTTTAAAGAAAGTAAAAGTGCCAGAAGTGAAATGTAGGAAAAAAAAAAACCAGTGACTGGAAAAACAGATTTTCTTCAGTTTACTACATATAAATTGGTAAGAAGAGCATTTTATTTGTGGCTTGATGTATTCAGATAGAAGGATGGTTAAGCATTGCTTTGAAATGCTAAGTTAATTGATGATGTCTTTAAACGGGTTCAGATAATAATCATAGGAGAATGATTTAAGTTTGTACCTTCTCAGATGAAAGCAGTTTGACTAGACAGATGACCTCTCAAGTTCCTCAAACTCTATGCCTTAATTACATCTAACATCTTAATTCATCTTTAAGTTCCCAGTAGAAGGAAAAATCCTATTTCTATATTCCCTCTCTTTTCCAATTAGCTGAAGAGGAAATCTGATAGATTGCTCACTTCAAACTTCAAAATGACAGCATAGTCAAAATTCTGCTACTGCCCTGCTATTATTATTCTTTAAGAAAGAAGAAAAAACACTCACTAAAAATTACATCTTCTGAAGGAATGTTGAGTGCTCCAACTGAAACTCTGCGGCTGTGTCTGCCACTCCTGAGGGTTTTAACGATGGGTGCCACCACAATTAGATTGTAGCAGATTTGTCTCTGTAAGGAACATTTCATTTAATTGACTGTGGTGAGCCAATTAGTTGAAAAATATTATATTATAAATTGGTCCTACCAAGTAAAATTTTATTTCTAACAGAATATCGGGATAGTTAAGAACCATGGGCCACATGATATAGGATATTTATGCAATAACTTTATTATGCCTTCTCATGCTCCAGGAAAATTAAATGGAAGCTGAAATGAAGTAATTTTATATTTCATAATTCAGGCGTTTTATTTTGGTGAGTAATATCATGGTGAAAAAGACACACCATTCAACATTATGAACAGTAAAATGAATAAATATGGAAATAGCCAAATTAAATTTGCTGAGTTGGCCACCCCAGCTGATACACACTAATTGGATGCATTTCAAATGACTAAATGATATGAAGCCCAAAATCAAAGTGGGTAGCCTGTTTCTGCGTACACACATGTTGCTTGTGGGAGAAAGAAGGACTGTTTAACCACTGGTCCAAACAAGCATCCCAAAGGCTTTTGGGAAACTCCTACTAGCTGAGCTCTTCTTGAAGAATTTATCAAATATTAAGAACTGACATTTTGCTGCAACTGCTGATACTCTGTGGTGGAATTCTTGGTCGCCCGTGTTACCTGCTTTGCAAATGTGTCTTCTGTAGCACACCTGCTGATGAATGCCAGGAGGTGGGGATAGAGTAGCAAGTGCAGGCTCAGAGCCATCGTGACATGAGAGTGTTAACACTTAGCATCAGTCAGTCCAGGCAGTGGCAGCAACCGAGTTATACACTGCATAGACAGGCAACAAGCAGATTCTAATTACATATTAGCCTTGCCAACCGCCTGGTGCCTCTAGAAAAGGCATTGATGTAACATTCACAGCTAAAATTGCATTTCACTGTGTATACAAGCGCAGTTTCAGGAAAATTCTGCAGTTTGGTATTAGTAAGGAGATTAGTAAGTTTAACAGTCAGTGCCAACTTAGAAACAACTTACAGAAACAATTTGCATATGGCCCTCAAAAAATATGTGCTAAATTTTATGTCATTACTTATAAGAATTCTAATGTCTTCATTTGTGACTGTTTTCTCTTTTAGAAGTAGGTACTTATTTAAAATTTACTCCAAAAGTATTCTGCAATGAAATCTTTCAAGGAATCACAAAAGCGTTTTGCTTATTTTCTAACTTCCTTTTAAAATGTTTCATTGAAATATTATATTTTATTAAATAAGATAATTTATGTTTTTTTAACTTGACACATTGTCCATAAAGTGACATATAACATGGACAGGTGATTCTTCTTTATTATTATTATTCTTGTCACATATATTACATCTCCACTACAGTTTCTGCTCCTTCCCCTCCCCCCAGCTTCTTCCCTCCCTCTCCTTTCCACCTGGCTCCCCTCAGCAAAGGCAGGCTTCCCAGGGACACGACCAGGCACACACCATCACATCAAAGCTGGACAAAGCAACCTATTAAGGAAGAAAAGCAGAAAAGCATCCCGCAAGTAGGCAAAAGAATGAGGGACAACCCTCATTCCCAATGTTAGGATTCCCACGAGAAAACCAAGCTACTCAGCCATAACATATATGCAGAGAACCTGGGTCAAACTCCTACAGGCTCCCCAATCTCTCTGACAGGACCCATGAGCTCCTGTCAGTTGATTCTGTGGGCCTTGTTCTCAGGGTATGTCCTTGACTTCTGTCCTTCCTCCCCCTCCTCTGCAGAATTCTCAGAGCTCTGCCTAATGTTTGGCTGTGGTACTCTGCATCTGCTCTCATCAGCTGTTGGGTGAAGTCTCTCTGGTCCCTGATTCTGCTAGGCTGTGGTCCCAGCACTCTCTGCAGGCAGGACAAACTATAGGTCAGAGATTTTGTAGCTGGGTTGGTGTTGCAATCCCTGTACTTGAGGAGTTGTCTGATTATAGAAGACGGCCAGTTCAGACTCCATATCCCTCATTACTGAGAGTCTTTGCTAAGGTTATTCTCATAGATTCCATAGAGTTTCCATTGCCCTAGGTTTCTATCTCCCTGCTAAAGTGGCCCCCAGTTTCAGTTGTTTCTCCCAGTATTTTCTCCTTCCCTTTCCCTCACCAGATCACTCCTGTATCCAACACACCCACCCCTAGTCCACCAGTGAAATCTGTTTTTCCCTCCCAGAGACATCCTTTCATTCCTCTATTCAGTCCTCCTTGTTACTTAGCCTCTCTGAGCCTGTGGACTGTAGCATGATTCTTTTACTTTACAGCTAATATCCACTTACGAGTTTTTTATTCTGGGTCTGGGCTACCTCACTTAGGATGATCTTTTCTAGTTCCATTCACTTGCCTACAAATTTCATGATATCATTGCTTTTAACGACTGAGTAATAATCCATGGTGTAACTGTACCACATTTTCTTTATCCATTCTTCAACTGAGCTACATCTAGGTTGTTTCCAGTATCTGGCTATTATGAATAAAGCTTCTATGAACATAGTTGAGAAAATATCCATGTGGTAGGATGGAGAGTCTTTTGGGTATATACCCACAGGTAGGGCTGGGACTTGAGGTAGACTGAGTCTGAGCTTTCTGAGAAACTACCATATTGACTTCCAAAGTGGTTGTACAAGTTTTTTCTCCCATCAGCAATGAAGGAGTGTTCCCTTTTCTCCATATCCTGGCCAGCATGAGCTGTCACTTGTGTTTTTTAGCTTAGCCATTCTGACAGGTATTAAGATAGAATCTCAGTCATTTTGATTTGCCTTTCCCTGATGACTAAGGATGTTGAACATTTCTCTAAATGTTTCTTGGCCATTTGAGATTCTTCTGTTGAGAATTCTCTATTTAGTAGTGTACCCATTTTTTACACTGGACTATTTAGCTTGTTGATGTTTAGTTTCTTGGGGGTCTTTATATAGTTTGGATATTAGCCTTGTCCTTTCTCTCCATATGTAATCAACATAGTACTCAAAGTTCCAGCTAGAGCAATAAGACAACTAAAGAAGATACAGGAGATACAAACCGGAAAGGAAGAAGGCAAAGTATCACTATTTGCAGATGATATGATAATAATCATAAGCAACCCCAAAATTCTACCAGTTAACTCTTAAAGCTGATAAACACCTTCATAGAAGTAGATACAAAATTAACTCAAAAAAAAAAAATCACTAGCCCTCCCATATACAAATGGGCTAATGCTGCCTTATACAGCATAACCAAAACATCAGAAAGGAAGAAGGCAGTTATCTATGCAAACTAAATTAATAGACAGAAAATATAATGTAATTAAGGATTAAAAAAGCTATGGAGCACATATACTCATGTGTACCATTTATAGTAGGACACTGAGAATGAAGGTCCTATAACACGGTATCTCCCATGGCAACTGTTTTCTAGGAAATCAACCTGTGATTGACTGGGTGGAATTCCTTCAAGCACTTCAAAATGCCCATTGACTTCTTTCTACTTCTTTTGTTATTTTTATTTGCATTTTAGTCATTGCTAGAAATTGGCCATGCAAATAGTTGGTGTTTATTAGGTATACCAATATTTGTTTTTAGTTCTTTGAGTACAGTTGACCTGCCCCTTTCCTTTGGGGTTTCATTTATCTTTATTGAATATTGTCTGATAGTACTATCAGGGAGGATGTAAAATTCTTAGTTTTTGTATGTCTGATAGTTCCGTTATTTCTCTTACATTCCAGTGTTCAAATTTTCTCCTGACACTAGTGCTCCAA